GCAATCTTGATTCCAGCTTGTGCTTCATCCAGCCCAGCGTTTCTCATGATGTACTCTGCATATAAGTTAAATAAGCAGGGTGACAATATACAGCCTTGATGTACTCCTTTTCCTATTTGGAACCAGTCTGTTGTTCCATGTCCAGTTCTAACTGTTGCTTCCTGACCTGCATACAGGTTTCTCAAGAGGCAGGTCAGGTGGTCTGGTATTCCCATCTCTTTCAGAATTTTCCACAGTTTATTGTTATCCACACAGCCAAAAGCTTTGGCATAGGCAATAAAGCAGAAATAGATGTTTTTCTGGAACTCTCTTGCTTTTTCAATGATCCAGCAAATGTTGGCAATTTGATCTCTGCTTCCTCTGCCTTTTCTAAAACCAGCTTGAACATCTGGAATTTCATGGTTCGCATATTGCTGAAGCCTGGCTTGGAGAATTTTGAGCATTACTTTACTAGCATGTGAGATGAGTGCAACTGTGTGGTAGTCTGAGCATTCTTTGGCGTTGCCCTTCTTTGGGAATGGAATGAAAACTGACCTTTTCCAGTCCTGTGGCCACTGCTGAGTTTTCCATATTTGCTGACATACTGAGTGCAGCACTTTCACAGCATCATCTTTTTACATAATTTTTCAGATTCTTCTCCCTTACAGATTATTACAAAATATTGAATATAGTTCCTTGTGCTATACAGTCAGACCTTGCTCTTTATGGATATTGAGTTCTTTACAGCAATAATCAATTGTTTCTGAGTTCAACTGATGCTGATTTTTAAGTTAGCCTATAGACTAATCTGCCCATCTATTATAAAATTTACAATTTTCATAATTTCTATTATTTATTTATTTTAAAATTTTTATTTATTATTTTTGGCTACACAGCATCTCATTGCTGCATGAGAGCTTTCTCTAGTTGCAGTGCTTGGGCTTCTCATTTCAGGTGACTTCTTTTTAGTTCCAGAGCACAGGCTCTAGAGGGTGGGCTCAGTAGTTGTAGCTCAAAGGCTTAGCTGCCGCATGGCATGTGGAGGCGTCCCAGAGCAGGGAGCAAATCCTTGTCTCCTACATTGGTGGCAGCCAGGTTCTTAACCACTGGACCATGAGAGAATTCCAAGATTTTCCATAATTTCTATGATCAGGTTTGATTTTCTTTTATCCCTCTTAGTATTCTCATGCTACTAATATTTGAAGATTTGTGTCTTTCTTCAAATATGGAAAATTCGTAGCCATTACTTCTTCAAACATCACCTCCCACATTATTTCTATTCACTTCTTTTGGAACTTCCATTAAATGTATACTGAAACTTTCTCATCTATGCTTTAGCTCAAAACTTTGCTTTCATCTTAACAGAATATATACATATTTTAATATATATTTCATGGTAGTGAAGTTGCTCAGTCATGTCCGACTCTTTGCAACACCATGGACTGTAGCCTACCAGGCTCCTCTGTCCATGGGATTTTCCAGGCAGGAGTACTGGAGTAGGTTGCCATTTCCTTCTCCAGGTGATCTTCCCGACCCAGAGATCAAACCCGTGTCTCCCTCATTGTAGGCAGACTTGTTTACCGTCTGAGCCACCAGGGAAGTCCATATTTCATGGTAACAGAATATATATGTATATGTGTATACATATATATATATATACATATATATATATATATATATATCTTTAAGCTGTTTTATGAGGGATTTCCTCCAATTTCTTTACTATGTTCAGTCTACATCCAACCTATCCTATGGTCCTGTATATTTCATTTCTGGAATTTCTGTTTGGTTCTTTTTTCAAATCAAACTGCTCCTTCTGGACTTTAGAATGTTTTGCTTCCTTTACCTTTTGGAATATATTAAACACACTCATTTCTAAAGATTTTTTTAATGTGGACCATTTTTTTTTTTAAAGTCCTCGTTGAATTTGTTCAATACTGCTTCTGTTTTATGTTTTGATTTTTTGGCCCTGAGGCATGGGCAATCTTAGAGCCCCAACCAGAAATCAAACTCATACCACTCGCATTGGAAGGTGAAGTCTTAATCACTGAATCTCCATCATTTTTAAAGCTTTTTAAAAGATTTTAAAACTCGTCCTTCATTTTTAAAGTTTCATGTTTATCATTCCTCATTCTTGGATGAGGGCTCTCCTAAGTTTTTTCCATTTCACTTGCTGAACCCTCCTCCTGATGGTTGGTTTGGTCATATGGTTTGTAAGTATTTGCAGTGAGTGCCTCCTTAGGGCATTTTTTGCAGTGGAGGTCCAGTGTTCCTAGTCTGGTTGAACTCTCCTTCCAGCGTTATTTGCATTTGCATCTGAGAGTTCTGTGAACTGCGATGACTTCAGGTCACTCAACTTCATTTCAGGTCCAGATGAGACTATGAACTTGGGCCACAAGCCAGTATGTGGTCCTGGCCTGGGGCTCACATGGCCCATAGTGTTTTTCAGGTGACTTATTTCTACCCATGTTGCCTTGGGAGATAAATTATTTTGCCACTTTTATAGACCAGCAAATAGTTTTTCTCCTCCATATTTTATAATAAGATGGTACTTTATTATCTTAGTTTTATGCAGGTTGCTTCATTTCATCCCCTTACACTCATGGGATTTGTGATTTAAGACTCTGTCCTCTCTACACCAGTATTAAAGCCCTAGCCTCAAGGCCTATATCTAATTCTGAAATCCCAGGAACCATCTCAGCTTCAGCTCATCATATGATTTTGAGTTTCCTCTCTTTTCCTGACACCTAACCTGGATTTCTTTTTTTCTTCCTTTTCTCCTCCTTTCCTCCTCCTTCCTTCCTACCTCCCTTAATCCTTCCCTTTCTCTCTCTCTGACTCTCTCTCTTTATATATTACTTCCTTAAGGGCAGTCTGATTTAATGTTTTGTTTGTTTAATTTTATCCAGCATTTCTGTATGTTTCGAACAGGAAGGAAAATTCTTCCACATCAGGTCAGCCTCCCAGGTTTGCTGATATAATCTTAAAATATATGAAAGATTAAGAAAATAGTGTTAGGTGTTTTGCTCTCAAAAAAAGATAAGAAAAGTAGTTTACTTACTATATTAGAGCAGTGCCTGATATATACACACCATTAAGTGATAAGTACTTCACAACAGCTAGACTTTATTAAATGCTTTCTATTTGCTAAGAACTGTACCAACTCCTGTATGTGTCTTTCCTCGTTTACTCCTTAATTTTACAAGGTCAGTCAGTAATAAGTTTACACACATTTTCAAGCTATATTATTCTTTATAGATGAAGAAACTGAGACATCAGAATATTAAGTAATAACATTTTGAACCTAGGAACTCTGGCTCCAAGCTTGTTAGTTGTGTTAAGATTTAACTTAAATATAATAAAATTCACATTAAGTCTAGATTTTGATTCATTTTAACAAATACATGCAGTCAAGTAACCACCACTACAATCATGCTATCGATGAGAACAGTTCCCTCACCCGCGTAAGTTCCCTTGGGCCCCTTTGTAGTCAATCTTCTCCTCCATCCTCTCAGTCCTAGCAAACACTGATCTGTATTCTACTAATAAAATTTCAAATAAACAGAATCATACAGTATCTGGCATCTTTTACTTTGCATAATGCTCTTGAGATTGCTTCAGAGTATTACAAATATTTGTTGTCCAATAACATTTAATCACTGAGCAGTATTGCATTGCACAGATATACCACATTTTGTTCATCTTTTTACCAGTTGATGGACATTTGGATTGTTTTCAGTTTGGGGCTCTTATAAATAAAGTTGCTAAGAATGTTCACATATACATCTTTAGACTGACATATGTTTTTGTTTCTCTTGCGTAAATATCTAGACATGGAATTACAAGATTATGTGGTAAGTATATGTTTTTTAGAAACTGCTAGATGGTTTTCTGGGCTCCCTTGATGGCTCAGCAGGTAAAGAAGCCACTTTCAATGCAGGAAACACAGGAGATCGGGTTTAGTCCCTGGGTTGGAAAGATCCCATGGCGGAGGAAAACGGCAAACCCACTCCAGTATTCTTCCCTGGAGAATCCCATGGACAGAGGAGCCTGGCGGGCTACAATCCATGGGGTCTCAGAGTTAGACACACCTGACACAAACTGTTCCCAAAGTGGCCATACCATTTGCAGTCCCACCAGCAAGCAATGCATGAAGGTTCTAGTTGCTTCATTTACTCCTCATCCTTGGCATTGTGAGTCTTTAATTTTTGCCTTCCAGTGACTATGTTATGATATGACATATGGTTTCCACTTGTATTTCTCTAATGACTAATGACATTGAGCACTTCGCCTAAATTTATTTGCCATCTATAAATCTTCAGTAAAGTGTCTATTCAGATTCTTTGCCCCTATTTAAATCGAGTTGTTTATATTTTATAAATTGCAGTGGTTTTTAAAAATATGTTCTGAAAATAAGTCCTTTATCAGATATATACTTGGCAAATATTTTCAGCTGTTGTGTTTAAAGACTGTACTCTTAACCACTACTTGTACTGCTCCTCAATATTTATTGAAATGACTGAGGGTGATGGACACCTCCTACTAGTAGCTGTGGATTTTGCAATTAATAAGGGGTAAAGGAACCCTGCTGACATATTTGTTTGAAGAAATGTGAAGTTCACATTTTCACTGCTAATTAAATCTTTTGGTACAGAGATTTTGTACCAAGCTAAACAATACCCCATTGGATTTGAAAAATTGATGAGATCATGGTTGTGATTACCTGTGAACTCTTTGTCTTCACAATCCATCAAAAATAACTAAATAATCAGCAAGGGCTTCCCTGGTGGTTAAGACTCTGCCCTTGCACTGCAGAGGGTGAGGGTTTGATCCCTGGTTGGGGAACTAAGATACTACCCACTGCACAAAATGGCCAAAAATGGAAAAGAAAATGACTAGACATGCCTCTGCTATGTAACACTCTACTGGACAACTTATTCTAAAGTGTCCTGATTTTCACTTACTAGTTGTTTCCTTATGGAGAAAGACAAGTTCCAGCAGTTAGAACTAGAGAAGAGTGGACCTTCCAAAAGGACAACTCCCAGAAGAATTATTCATTTTGCTGATGGAGACATCATGGAAGAATATAGCACAGAGGAGGAGGAAGAAGAAGCTAAAGAACAGAGAACACATTCAACACTTGATCCTGTAAGTTTAGATTATCATTATTAGTGAGCATGGGCGTTGAGTGAATGAGAGATAAAACCAACAAGTTTTGTCAAAAAAAAATTTTAAGTTAACTCCTTGTTCTCTTTGGTTTGCTTTCTGGAGCTGTGTACAATCAACTTATAATTTTGATCATCTTAGTTTTCTCATCTATGAGAGAAAATGGAACCTATTACAAAGCATTTTGAAGTCTTTACTCTGCAGTCATCACTTCTGTTATTAATTACTCTAACCTGGTTTCCCTTTCTTGTTCTTTTTCAGTCTAAACTTGCCTGGGGGCCCTACCTATGGTTTTGTGCAGGGCAAATAGCAAGAGCCTCATTTTCTAGTAAGTACTGCTAAGGTGTGTGTGTTTTTTTTTTTATGTCATAAATATAGGCTTATAGACCCTCAGAGTTAGATAAGACTTGAAGTGATTTAATCCACTCCACGGCATTCTGAAGATCTATTCACTTCCAGATCTACACTGGAACATTCCCGAAGGCATAGAACCTCACATCTTCAGGGAGACCTTGCCATCTTTCCCCAACTCTTGTCAGTAAACTCTCTCTTCCTTTAAATCTTCTTTTAGAGTTTTTCCCCTTGATTCTAGTTGTCTCTTTTAAAGGCCAGACAAAACCAATCTAGATTCCTCTTTCATAGGACAGAATTTCAAACATTTGAAGACAATAGTCCTCACTGAGTGGACTCTTCACATAAATAAACTTCCAAGTTCTTTCTTGATTTTAACTATTGTTATCTGACACAGTTTCCAGTTCCCTTGTCATAATCATTCTTTTATAAGCAAGAATTTTATTGGCCCTTCTCAAGGAGATAATGAATGGCCTAAGTGGCTATTTATAAGAGAAAATGAAAGTGACGTCACTCAGTTGTTTCCGACTCTTTGCGACCCCATGGACTGTACCCTGCCAAGCTCCTCCGTCCATGGGATTCTCCAAGCAAGAATACTGGAGTGGGTTTCCATTTCCTTCTCCAGGGGATCTTCCCGACCCAGGAATTGAACCCAGGTCTCCCGCACTGCAGGCAGACTCTTTACCTTCTGAGCCACTAGGGCTCCTGTATTTATTTATTTATAAGAGATGAATAGTAAATCTTGTTTTGTTTGGCTTTCACCAATTAAAAAAAACGCAATTGGCAACATCTAATTACTCACTTCCTTCTAATTCATATCTACTTATGTATATGATGGGCTTCCCTGGTGGCTCAGTGGGTAAAGAATCTGCCTGCAATGTGAGGTGGGCTCGATCCCTGGGTCAGGAAGATCCCCTGGAGGAGGAAATAGCAACCCACTCCAGTGTTCTCGCCTGAAATATCCCATGGACAGAGGAGTTTGACAGGGTACAGTCCACAGGGTTGCAAAGAGTTGGACACAACTGAGCAACTAAGCAAACGTGTATATGATGGGGGAAAACAACTTTAAAAATCTGAGAAAATAGAAAACATAGCTCTTAGGAATTGATTTCCAGTCATTCATTAAATACACATTTACTGAATACTCATATGCTCAGCACTGCACAGGACCTTGGGACTCAAAGACAAATGGCAGTCTTTGCTTTCAAGGACCTTAATATTTGATGAATAGTACTGGCCAGTAAACATGCTTATAATGATACTTTGTGGTTACAATTTCCAGGGTAGGAGGAGTTTAGGGACTATAGACTAAAGTACTCAAGAATGGTGACTTCTGGAGGAGACACCTTAAGAGAGTTCTGAAAGTATGTCTGGCCAATGCCAGTTTGGGGACCATGAAAGTGACCATGGTGGGTCTTTAAATTACATTAAGGGTGATTTAGTCAGATGGTATGAGCCCTAAGTACTTTTAGGTCAAGGTAGAGGGTCAGTAATTTGGAAATTACTTTAGAGATCCAGGTGAATACTGACCTTGGGTGTGCCTGCTAAGTTGCTTCAGTCAGGGTCTGACCCTTTGCAACCCTATGGACCGTGGCCCACTAGGCTCCTTTGTTCATGGGATTCTGCAGGCGAGAGTACTGGAGTGGATTATTGAACCCAGGGACTGAACCTGCTTCTCTTACATCTCTTACATTGACAGGAGGGTTCTTTACCACTAGTGCCACCTGGGAAACCCCCAATACTGCCCTTACCTTGGCCAAAACACATTGGCAGAAGAAATGCTTCTTCTAGAGACTTCTATGTTTTAGTTAGGGCAAGACTGTTTGAAGATGTAAAATGTTCTTGAGGGATGGAAACTTAAAAGATTAGATCAGGTTAAAAAAAGCAAAACTCAGCACAGCAATATGAGAGTGTGAAGGAGAATGGGGACTACAGTGATTTCCACGTTGGGCTTTGATTTCAGATGACAGAGATAGGACACACGGGGAATGTATCCATCTCTGGGCTCCAAATAGAACTGTAATCTTAAAGAGCTTCTGCCTGGGGTTTCCAGACTATAGTGGAGGCATAAATATGCCAACAGTCAGTATCCTGATCTCTACACAAAGACTTTGGTGAGAACTAGAACCCAGATGACACTGGTAATTAATGTATCCAATTTAAAATTCTAGTAGGTCATAAACAGGAAAACGTCCTGAGATGCTAATATTTTAGAAACTTCTCTTATGCACATGTACTGGGCACTGTGGCAAACAAAAAGATTAAAGAGTTAGAGTATTTCTGAAAGGATAAAGCACGTTTAAAAAAAAAACAGAGAACATCATTTTGATGTACTGTGTGAGCAGTATCTTTAGAAGTGGAATAAATCGTGGGAATCACGAAGTCCTCTAATAGGAAGAGGCGCATCAGAAGTCCTACATGTTTTGATGTTGCTCATTTCTAAAGTCTTCATTGAATTTGTTACATTATTGCTTCTGTTCTATGTTTTGGGGTTTTGGCCACAAGACCTGTGGGATCTTAGCTCCCCCCCTGGGAATCAAACCTGCACCCCCTGAATCAGAAAGAGAAGTCTTAACCACTGGACCACCAGGGAAGTCTTAGTTCTGTACTTTTAAGGGAAAACAGCTCTAGGAGAGACCTTTTGGAAACCACTCATGATTCATGCTAACCCTTAACTCCTGACTCTAACAATCCCTGAGACTGCAAGCACCCTGTTATTGAAGTGAAGGCAGATAAAGCCTAAAATTGCTGCTTAGGGAGTTTTGTGGGTTTTTTTTTTTTTTTTTTTTTTATGCATGGAGGAATTTCTGACATGGGTCTTGATAATACTGGATTTAACTTTTGGTATAATTTGCAATGTACTCACAGCTGATGATCAGATGACATACATGCAGATGGACAACATCTATTCTGATTGCCTAGGACCTGTACTTGTTATTAGGTATGTTGAAGATCTCTTGGTATATTCACCTGAAAAGGATAGTTTAGATGCCATCCTATGTGAAGATACAAGATTTAACAAATTCTCTTTGAGTCCTAAAATTTGAGAGAGTCTACAGCAATTAAAATATCTTGTCAGCCTTGAAGGTAAGTGTAATAGTAGACAATATGTGGGCAAGTTGAAACTCTTGGCATCTCCACAGACTTTAAGCTTTCATTCTTAACTCAGATTACCAAAGTGCTTCTTCTTTCTTCTAGCCTGTGAATTCCTTGGTGAAAGATTTGCTGTCTTCTTTGGTCTTCATCAGCCCAAGTACCAATATATGTTAAATGAGTACTGTAGAACAAGAAGTAAGGTATGTGACATCCTGATGGGGACAGCAAGAGCCCTGAGATGGAATATTGGGTGTTTCTGATCTGCGCCCATAGAGAGGAGCATTTCCCACTTGGTATTTCATGTACTGCAGTTTCACTGAGCTCCCATGGTCAGACTGACTTATTTTTCTAAGGTGCCTCACCCCATGAAGTTTATTAATATTTGCCTTTGGTGTGAAGTTAGAACATCACGAAATAGATTGTAGAAGGTGGTGTGAAACCTGAATTTGCTTAAAGGAGAAGCTTCTTAGAAGGGTGTCTCTACAAGATATAGAGGTCAGAGGTATTGGGTTTACAGGTAAACATTTCCTTATTTCTCTTTATATTAGCAAAGTGACAAGGGAAGTGAAGAGAATGGATCAAAGGCCCAACCAGCCAATGTTCCTAATGAGAAATGTCACCTGGAGGCCAGGGGCCATGAGTATGGAACAAGACTACGAGATGTTGCGGAGGGCATTTCTCAGTGGAGTGCCTCATCCAAGGAGGGCCTGATGGCAGATTCCAGCTCCTGATGGGCAGCGGGGTGTTACAGTTCCCCTGGATTTCTGTTCCCTGGTCATTGGTTACCACGGCAACAGCACCACAGGTGGTGCTTCTGAGCCAGATCTGATCTTAATCTCTTTGTGATTTATTCTCCATTAGCCAGGAATTGCAAGCCATCATGAGAACAATTGTGGTTTCTTTCTCAATATACATTTTTATTTATAAGCCCTGAAACCCAACTCCACTCCAGTGATGCAAGTCCTGTCCATCAGTTGTGGGCTGTTAGTATTGATATTTGCATAGTAGTGTAAGTGACTGATGGAGGAGGGCATGGCAACCCACTCCAGTATCCTTGCCTGGAGAATCCCATGGACAGAGGAGTCTGGTGGGCTACAGTCCATAGGGTTGCAAAGAGTTGGACACGACTGAAGTGACTAAGGACAGCACAGCACAGCACATAAATGCCTTAGGGAACTTGGGCATGGGAGTTTCAGGCTAAAACTCTTTGTCAGGTGGCTAGGGTGTAGAAAAGAATCCTCTGTTCCCAAAAAGAAACCTTGGGCATCATAAAGTCTAAATAAAACTTTCTTTTGGGGTTTGACACAAGGGATGTCCTTCCCTACAGCTGTGCTGGTTTACTTGAGGCTTGTTTTCCCCAATAAGCAAACATTGCTAATAACTCTGTTACAAGATAGCAGTCTTTGAGAGTTGGGTGCATTTTTCTCCAAACACATAAAAAATAAATGGCAATCTAAATTCTACAGAAAGTATTTGGGAAAAGTGAATGACTCTCTCATTAACTTGTCAATAAATTTTCGATAACTGTAAAGATCAGACATGGGACTCATAACTGCATAACACAAGGTGTGCTGGCCAAAGGTAGCTATGATATACAAAACTACAGGTTTTGCAGTAATAAGACCTGAGCTCAAGTTTCAATTCCACTTCTTACTAATTGTATAATTTTAGATGTCTTAATTTCTGAGCCTCCACGTCTTTCTTTGTAAAATAGGGGTTTTATTTGTTTCTCAAGGGTTAAACAAACTGAAATAATAAATGTGAAAACTCTTCTAAAAACTGTGAATGTTAGTTGTTAATGGTTAATTAATGACTGTTATAGGCTTCCCAGGTGGTTCAGTGGTAAAGAATTTGCCTACCAAAGCAAGAGATGCAGGAAATGTGGGTTCAATCCCTGGGTCAGAAAGATCCCCTTGGAGGAGGAAATGGTAAGCTACTCCAGTATTCCTGCCTGAAAAGTTTCATGGAAAGAGGAGCCTGGCAGACTACAGTCCATGGGGTTGCAAAGAGTCAGACATGACTAATGTGACTGAGCCCATAGACTGTTACATTGAAGATCCCCAAAGAACAATGCCTTCTGGAATTCATGTCCTCATATAGCCTCACCTACATTGACCATGGCCTTGGCTATGTTACTTGCTTGGGCAAAGAGAGTAGCAAATATGACGCAACTGGATGCTTGATAAGCACTTGCACCTGGACGCTTGTCCTCTTAGAAAACTCCATGTTGTAAAGAAGATTGGGCTAGATTTCTGAATGATATGATGCCACATCAAGAGGCCATAGCAACCCCCTACTCCCATCACTCTGAGTGGGTGACAGTCCACATTTGAACTTGCTGCCTGATTAGCTCTAGGCTTCTCCGGCAACTAGGGCTCCCGGGTGATTCAGTTGGAGGATACCCTAGCCAGCCTGCCGGCTCCCCACCCCTAAGGCTGTCAGGAAAGCCTGAGCTCTGTTCCCCACTGGGTAGGTTAGGGTTTACTATTAGGCATACGGCTTGTCTCCCAAGAGCCCATGTTCCAGCCTCTCCATGCCGTTTTCCTGTTCCACTTTCCTGGAATGTCTATGGATGGTATACACTGTTTCAGGAGGCTTTGGGAAACTGGGGCCCTCCAGGCCTCTGACGCCACTGCTTGGCCTAATCACATGGATATACATCTCTTTGAAGGGGGCCCACTTGAAATGCATCTGGGATGGGCTGCTAAGGTGACAACAGTAATTTCCTAATTTGGTCTTGCTGCCACTGGGGCCCCAGGTCTCTTTAGGAACTTGGGCTCTCCAATATCTTTCATTCTTGGAAGCCCTGCTCCCCTCAGTCAAGGTTTCAGAGTTCCTGGAATGGATGGCTTCGGGTTAAAGGGAACCTCTATTCAGGAGCCAGCTGACTTCAAGTCACAATGCTCCCAAAGTGTCAGAATTCTGCCTTCCTCCTCAAGGCTAGACTGATCATGCTGAGTTGTACCAGTTATTCCTCCTGCCTTATTGTGTTGTGTTGGGGCCTATCCAAGCAATCAGCTCCTGCAAGCTTAGTCTGGCTGTCTCATTTACCGCCATTGTTGTTGTCCAGTCACCCAGCTGTGTCCAACTCCTTGCAACCCCATGGATTGCAGCACACTAGGCCTCCCTGTCCCTCACCATTTCCTGAAGTTTGCCCAAGTTCATGTCCATTGCATCAGTGATGCCATTCAGCCATCTCATCTTCTGACGCCCTCTTCTCCTTCTGCCCTCAATCTTTCCCAGCATCAGGGTCTCTTCCAATGAGTTGGCTGTTCGCATCAGATGACCGACCAAGATTATTGCCACCATTATCCATTCCTATATTTTCCACTGGTTTATTTACCCAGATGGGTCATCAATGGACCAGGAAAACACTTCTCTGATATATTAATCATGAGCACCCTAGCCAAAAAAAAAAAAAAAAAAAGAATGAGCCTCCTTGAAAGTACAACTCTTCGGTGATATTACAGACCCATGGCCCCTTTCCCCAAAACACAATCATAATGTCAGATTGACTTAGTAGGAAGACATTCTACCATTAGTCATACCCTATAACTGGAACACTCCCTACCAATAATCTAGACAAAGAAATAGTACTTGTCACCACTCCAGACCCCACCTCTTTTCACAGAGGGTTTCCTCTCAAGTCTTTATCTCCTTCCATGACAACTAACCTTTGTCAGTAACATCTCAGTTCATTCTCCCTCATTTATATGTCATTGAACCTTGGAGAAGGAGTTCCAGTCTGAGTCACTTTCCTCCCAGGAGTCATCTCTGCCTTTTGTAGACTGATGGATGCTAAGCAGTATGTACCCAGCTCTATCTGGCAGCTTCCAAGATGCAAAGATACGTCAGGAAAGGGCTAACTAACTTCTCCTTCCAATGATATTTAAACCCAAGATTCTTGCCAGCCAAAAATATCCCCAACTAACCAATTAAAGAGCAAAGTTTGTTGATTTAATCAATCAGCTAAATTTTAATGATCATTCTGATTTCTTAATGTTTTAGGTTACTGCCACCACACTTCATTGTGTGTAACATAGGCAAATTAAAGTTAATTTTATTATCTTTCTTTTCTAATGATGGAGTCACCCTAAATCTTAACCTTGAGAGTGGAAATTCAAGAAGTCTGAAGTGATGAGAGAAGCTGTCTGGCAAATGCACACAGGCGTCTACCCTTCATTTCCATACCTCCAAACATCATTTGAGCATCTTCCTCTGGATAAACAGCCTGCCAAGAACTGTTTGGGTCTTTTTCATCTTTGCAGGCTTGTGGGAGATGATACCCTTCAATTATTCCTGTGAAAGTTTCTGTCTTCTGCCAAACTGCACCATCTCCAACCACAAGATATAATTATTTATTATACCTACAGCAAAATGAAGTCAACCACACCTTTAACCATTCTGTTTCTCGGGCAACTTATGAAGGCTTGCCAAGAGCTAGCAAATATAGTTGTCAGCTTTTCAGGCAAAAGAGGAAAAAGAATGCTGAAATCTCTTTAGGGAAAACTTTCTGTATATGATTTCATTTATGTTGGGGACAGAGTGGGAGTGACATCAGTCTGAATTTAATTTGAGTGGACAGGATTTATACTGAGAAAAAGAATATTAAGGCTCCCCAACAAATCACTTGAAAGGATGTGGACACAATTTACCTGACACATTTGCTTTGTCATATTCAAGACTGCCTCAGGCCAACCAGCTGTATAAATCAGGGCAAACTGGTAGAAACAAAATTCTATTTAGAATTGAGTGGATTTCTATATAAAATGTCTTCGAAGATAAATGTTTCATGGTAGTCTTTAGTGGTCTTGGGGGGAAAGTTTCAGTGACAGAGAAAAATGACCCCCAAGGACAAGATGTCTCCCAAGAATGCCTTGATGGTGGGGAACGTACATCTTCAAATTCAAAGAAAGGTAGTTCTTGAAACTTTACTTCTATTTATTTATTTTTGCTGTGCTGGGTCTTCATGCTTTGTGCAGATTTTCTCTAGTGTCTTCAAGCAAGGGGCTATTCTTCGCCGCAGTGTGCAGGCTTCTCACAGCAGCGACTTCTGTTCTCATGTGTGGAGCGCTCCTGTTTGGAGCGCAGGCTCCAGGCGCTGGGGCTTCAGGAGCTGCAGCAGGTGGCTCAGTAGTTGTGGCACGTGAGCTTAGTTGCTGCCTGGCATGTGGGCTCTTCCCAGACCAGGATCAAACCTATGTCCCCTGTACTGGCAGGTGGATTTTTAATCACTGGACCAGCAGAAAGCCCCTTGAAATTTCATATACAAACTTTATGAATGTTAATTTTAGGCAATTGATTGAAATATCAGTCTTCCTCATTGGCTGATGTGATAGTTTTATGTGTCAACTTGGCTAGGCTCTAATGCCCAGTTATTTAATCAAACATTAATCCAGGTGTTACTACGAAGGTATTTTGCAGATGTGGTTCACATCTAAAAATCAGCTGACATGACGTAAAGGACATTACTCTTAATAATGTGGATGGGCCTTATCTAATCAGTTGAAAGGCTTTATGAGAGAAAAACTGAGGTTCCTCAAAAAGGAAGAAATTCTACCTCAGGACTGCAACATCAAATCCAGCCCAACTTCCCTGGTGGCTCAGTCATAAAGAATCTGTCTGCCAATGCAGGAGACACGGGTTCAATCCGTGACTTGAGATGATCTTACATGCTGCCGAGCAACTCAGACCACATCACAACTACTGAGCCTGCGCTCTAGAGCCCAAGAGCCCCAACTGCTAGAGCCCACATGCCCCAGAGCCTGACTCCACAACAAGAGTGCGTGCTAAGCAGCTGCAGTCGTGTCCGATTCTTTGCGACCCCATGGCCTGTAGCCCACCAGGCTCCTCTGTCCATGGGATTCTCCAGGCAAGAATACTGGAGCGGGTTGCCATTTCCTTCTCCAGGGTATCTTCCTGACCCAGGGATCGAACCCAGGTTTCCTCAGCTCCTGCATTGACAGGCAGGTTTTTTTCCACTAGCGCCACCTGGGAAGCCCCTCCACAACAAGAGAAGCCACCGCAATGAGAAGCTGGTGCACCACAATTAGAATAACCCCCACTCACCACAACTAGAGGAAAGCACGTGCAACAAAGACCCAGTGCAGCCCAAAATAAACAAACAAACAAAAAAATCTAGCCCGAGTTTCCAGCCTGTTGGCCTGCCCTATGGATTTTGGACTTGTCAGTCCCCACCATTGTGAAAGACAATCAACCCCTTGAAATAAATCTCTTTGATTCTCTTTTTCCTGAAGAACTTCAACTGATACAGCTAGTGTCCAGCATACAGTTTGGAAGTTACTGCTACCATATTTAGCAAACTATTACACTGTCCGTAGGTAGGTTCGTGTTTCCATTATGCAATGTGCGTGACAGCTCTCTTTGCTTCACATTTTTCATCCTGTCCTGATTTAAACATGCCTAACCGCTTACATTGTTATGCAAAACCCTTTCATCTTGGCTACCCATTGTTTCCAAAAGAAGTTCAACATCCTAATACTTATGAATAAGTACCTGGGCTGGAGTTCTCTCTTCTCATGGTTAATTGTGATCACATAAAACTGCATGACTGAGAACTACAAGTCCCCCACTGGGGGACAATGAGTGGATGAAAAACCCAGCAGATCCCAACACAGAGGATTCAAGTGAATGGGAAGGGAGAATATCTTGGCCTTTAAAAGGAAAGCTTAGTGAGTATTCAAAAGGCAGGAAGACAGGGAATTCCCCAGTGGTCCAGTGGTTAAGACGCTGTGTTTTCACTGTAGGGGTTCTGGTTCA